GCGACCGCGACCGTTGGTGGGAGGGACGACGGATCCGGCCACTCTGGCGGCGGATCCAGTCCCCCTGGATGGCTGCGGCCGGCGGGCGGAGGTGGCCGACGCCGAGGAGGTTTGTGGCGGAAGGCAGTGGTGACGGCGACCGACGGAGTCGAGAGGGCGGTGACAGCAGTCGACGGAGACGCGTAGGCGGCGGCAGCAGCTGGTCGGCGGGACCGGCGACGGCGTGCATGGCGCGGCGCGCGCGAGATCCGGTGGTGCTGGAGGCGGGGTGGGAGATGGTGGCAGGGCACGGTGGCTGTGCTGGCGGCGGGGTGGGGGCTGGTGGCGGGGCTGAGTGGTGGCGGCGGTGGAGCCTGGTGGTGATGGCGGCAGCGGAGCCCAAGCTGCGGTGGGCAGCCAACGCCGCACGACAGCTGGGCGTCTGCCTTCCCCCGGGCAAGATGCGGTCCCCTCCACCGGATTTGGGGCGAGAGCATCATGCTTCGGTGGACGTTCTAGTGCCGCATCGTTTTGGACGGCGGGTGCACTGTGGCGGATGGGTCAACAGCACGGTGCGGAGGGTGGCATGGCGCCGGCGAAGCGGTCTGGTGGTCCGAGGTGACACGGACAACGGATTCGTGGCGGAGCCAGCGGTTACTCTGTCAGGGGGAGCCACGGTCCTCTCGACGTTCACCTTCCTAGACATATGTCCTCTTGCGACGGCGACTTTGTCGGCAAAAGTTGGCCACGTCGGGCAGGCTAGTGTGGGGGAGAGGGCATCCATTCTTCTCTCTCACCCTCTCCCCATCCAACCCAACTGCGTGGATGGAGCCGGTGTGTGTCGAGGTTCGAGCTTCCCCATGGCGATTGACTGGCGGCGTGGCGCCGGTGCGGTGGCCGTGCGTCGAAGGTTTTCGCTGGTGGTGGCTGCGGAGCGTGTAGGAGTTCAGTTCTTGGGAGAGACAAATTTTGGGCGAAAGCTCTGCCTTCGGGCCGGCAACAACGATGCCTGTGGGTGCCGTTTTTTCCTCTTGGGGTGTTGCCGCTTTTCTTGTCTCTCCCAATTACTTTCTTCATGTGAAAACCTTGTCCTGGCCCTCTGGGACAGGCGACAGCGGCACCTTTGGTGTCGTACCCTTTTCGAAGGTGTCGTCTCGAAGACCTTCAGTTTCGCTCGTGCAGTGGGTTTTGTTGTAGATGCGCGGTGTGGTTGTATTTTCTTTTTCTGGTCTGTGGTCTTCCAGGACTATAGATTGTATTTTTCTCCTGTTTTATCAATATATGAAACTCGCGCTGTCTTGTGTGGTTCGTTTAAAAAAAATAGAAAACCGCTCAAAAAAAATGAAGCTGCTATAATTAACTTGCGATAGATTTTTGTTCTAAATCATTCAATTTTTGGGCCGTTTGATATGCTGAGATTTGTGTTTGACATAGGAAAAAAGTTTCACGCATTGTGATTGCTGGAATCAAACCCTTGACCCAACAATTGCATGCGCACATACTTCCCACTGAGCTATCTTGGATTTTGTAATTTATGCTTCACCTGGATCCTAGTTACGTGGTCCGACAGTTTCTTGGAGAATTTTCTATCGATTGTTACAGAGGTAGTTCCAAAAATAATGTTGACTAACCGATAAAAAAAATATGTGAGAAGAAAAAAAATTAAACCACGTTGATCAGACATCGTCCTAGTGTGACGCACAGTCGATGACTAAGTACGTACTACATCTATTATGATGCCATTAATTTTTTGATAACCATATTCATCTTATTCAATTTTTTTTTAAATATGAAAGAATTAAGTCATGCTTAAAAAATATTTAACAGTAAATTAAGTCACAATAAAATAAATGGTAATTACATAATTTTTTTTAATATAACGAATGATTAAACATATTTTAAAAAATCAACGGCATCGTATATTAAAAACGGAGATATCGTATAAAAATGTGTTTGCCTAGTCATACTCCTCGAAAGAAATTAAAGTTCTGTTTCGACATGTTCATATCCTGAAATCCATAGGATTAATCCCTGCCGTTCGAATTGCACGTCGATCTCCACAGGACAGCCACTCACATACTCCCTCTGTCAAAAAAAAAAAAAAACCTGGGTTTGCGTGTCCAACTTTGACTGTCCGTCTTATATGAAATTTTTATAATTCGTATTTTTATTATTGTTAGATGATAAAATATGATTAATATTTTATGCGTGACTTATCTTTTTAATTTTTTTCATAATTTTTTCAAATAAGACGGACAGTTAAACATTAAGCACGGAAACCAGAGTTTGTCTTTTTTTTTTATTTTTTTTGGAGGGAGGGAGTAGGCGTGCGCACTCGAGTTGCAGAGTTCTCTCATCATCTGATCCCATGGAAGTGATCACTGATCATCCACTGGATGGTGTGGTTGCACATCATGAACAGAAACGGCGACGTGATCACCTGAACAGAACGGAGGTGATGGAAAACGACAATTCAAGGACGCTCTGTTGATTTTCAGCTGATTTCTGCGCCAATCCGAAATGGATCTTGAGCGCTCGAGGTTATCCCACCTTTACCTCTTATTTTCTTTAATATACTTTATCCGTCCCATAATATATCAATCTAATACCGAATAAAATCTTAGTATAACGAATTTTATTAACAGATCTAGATAGGAGGGTGTCCAGATTCATCGTACTATTAAATGTCAGTATTAAGTTGGCACTCCCTTCGTCCCATAGTATAAGAGATTTTTGAGGGATAAGACACTTTCTAGTACTATAAATATATATAAAGAGCTTGTCTAGATTTGTAGTAATATGAAGTGTCCCATCCCTCTAAAATCTCTTATATTTTAAGATGGATGGAGTATATTATAGGACGGAAGAGTATAAAAAAATATAACAAACATAAAAGTATACTAAGACATAAATTTATATATGCGGAATCGGTAGCCAAGTCTTAATTTTGTTCAACTTTAGATGACGAAATATCTATATAATTACCTGCCACGATAAAAAAAATGGTTTCTCTGTTTCCTTTTTGTTTTTTATTTTTGAAAATTGAAAAAGAACTCTACGGAAGCAAATAGTGCGTGTGGGGCCAGGCTGCAGGCAGCAAGAAGTGGCGCATGATCGATCAGCCTGTCCAGGTGAAGCCTTGTCGTACGTGCGTGTCGGTGGTTGGAGTTTCTGCCCATTATCAGGTGGTAATAATGGCGAATTTATATTAGTTATATCTAACTATTAACTGATATATTTCGCCAGTCCCTGAATATTTGACGCAGTTGGTTTTTTAAAACATATTTAACCGTTCGTCTTATTTAAAATAATTAAGTAATTATTAATTCTTTTTCTATCATTTAATTTATTGTTAAATATACTTTTATATATACATATAGTTTTACATATTTCACAAATGTTTTTGAATAAGATGAATGGTTAAATATATTTTAAAAAATCAACGACATCAAATGTTTAGGGACGGAGGGAGTACTTATTAATATCATATAAATTAGCTTAAATTGTATAATTTACTAGGGATCATATGACGCTTGATAGGATTAATATTGTAGGCTAGTCCATATGGAAAATAATCCGGGATCAAACCAACGACTTACATGGATTAATTATTATCTGTCCTAACATGACTATGAAAGCAATGCCGTCCAGGTGGTGGGGCCAGCCTCAACTTCAATGGTTAGGTTAGTGCTCTCCTTCCACGGATTGAATGTGAACCATTGCACTACTGCTAGACATCACTATGCAATTGTTTGCTAGGATAACTTTAATTACCATATTTAAAGTGTATCGGTTTAGTGTAAAATTTTAATACCTATATATATATTTCTCGTACTTTCTGAAAGATTGAAAACTTCTAGTACTTTATCATGACTATGCAAGCAATCGCAGTACCTACTACCTAAACATCTGATCACATGCCATCTAAGGTCTTATTGGTTATACATGTATTCTACCTGTAATTATCCCCATTTCATAAAGTCTCTAAGAGAAAGACAAATTAATTTGAAGACTAAAGAGAGAGAATTTTCATGAAGAGTGTAATCGTTAATGAGAGGAACACGTATACTCATAGTAAATGGAAAATTCAAGTACGCATATAACTTAACCACGCCTTATCTCTTTCTTAATTTCAACTGGCATTTAATAAGTGTACAGTAAAAATGACCTAAATTAGGAATGGCAGTGAGGGAAATTTGCAACAATTACGTCCTTGAGCTGAAAATGCTAGACCGTTTGCAATATCTCAATATTAAACTTAGTTTGATTTTTAGGCACAATGACGGCTTTACTAGTATCCTTTGGCTTAATATATGTGCCAAATTTCTCATTACCAATTACTTAAACTTACTTTTTAGGCACAATGACGGTTTACTTCTACCTTTGTCTTATTGATAATATATATGTGCCAAAATTCCCATTATCACTTGTAGAGAAACCATCTTTGGTCGGTCGACCCAAATCCACAGTAGTCCCGGTTCCATTAAAAACCGGAATTAAAAATAATTTTTAGTCCCGGTTTATAAGAGGAAGATCTTTAGTCCCGGTTGTTGTTACCAACCGGGACTAAAAATCATCTTTAGTCCTGATTGGTAACTCCAACCGGGACTAAAGTTCATCTTTAGTCCCGGTTGATTCCATGTCAGACCGTATCAGGGCTCGAGGATCTTTAGTCCCGGTTATAACACTACACCATGACACTAGATTACCAACAGACATCTGTCGGTAAAGATAAACAATTATTGATAGACTATTTGTTGGTAAAGGCTTTTGGTAAATTATATGTCAGCAATACTATGTAATAAGACATGTTATATGTTAGCAATTCCAAATATTTATTGGGTCAAAATAACTGTCAGCAATATTATTAAGAGTGGAAACCAATTATATGTCAGGAAAACTTAATGATAACCTATCTGTCAGCAATGTTTCGTCCGTTGGATGTTGATCCCACGGTTAGGATAGAGCGAGGTGATCGGTGCGCAGTAAAATAAAAAAAGAAGCGCAAAAAAATCCGCGCAAAAAAAAAAACCACGCCGAAAAGAAAATCCACCCCAAAAAGGAAAACCCTAGGCTCGCACCGCGCGCCGCCATTTCTCCCCCTTCCACCGCGCACCGCCTCCTCCGCCAAATCCACCGCCGCGGCGCGCGGCCTCCTCCTCCGCCGCGGCGTGCCGCCACCTCGCTCCTCTCTCCCCATCCACCGCGCTGCCGGAGTCGACCTCGCGCCCGCCCAGGTTTGTACGGGCTAGGGTTTGGGGGGCGCCCGTCCAGATCTGGGGGATTGACTTGGGTGTTGGGGTTGGTGTTGGTTGCAGGTGGTGGTGTGTGCCGGGTAGAGGAGGAGGAGGAAGCGAGGGCGTCGGACTTGTGCGTGCGCAGGTCCAGGGGCAGGACGACATTCGACGCGGTCGCCGACGAGGTCTCCTAGTTCACTCTGCTTGTTGTTGCTGAATGGGTAGTGATTATCAATACTGATGGACTGCATTTCTCTTGCAGTTTTTCCCCTTTTGCCTTTGATTTCTTCGGCCCTTTCCTTTCAAGTTTTGATACAAAGAATTCAGAAACTCATACTATATGATGGGTAGTTTCCTCTGTTTAGTCCTGTATCTTGGAACTCATACTTTATGATCAAAGAATTCAGAAAAGGATCATGTAACTATCCAGTCTAGTATGGACTGTAGTTGTTTCTAACTGCTTTCCATAGAAACTTTTGCACCCTTTGTGGTATAAAGAATTAGAACAAATCATAAGATTCTTAAGCTGCTAAGGTTAAGTATCATGACCTTCACTAGTAAATCATAAGATTCCTCCTAGTTCACTCTGCTTGATGTTCAACAGACCTCATGATGCATGTGCCCCGGAAATATATTGCTCTCATATTTGTAGGATTAGATATTCAGTAAAGTTCCAGAGTTTCGCTCTGTTTTTTATAGTACAATGGGTGCTTTTTTGTCTAAACTGTGTGCTGGTAAATATAAACGATAAAACCATCCAGAACTGAGAAAACCTAGCAGCCGCTGGTGTTGTGTTTAATTACATATTGCAGATGTATACACCTCTGCATTTCTAAGTTTGTATTCCTGCAGTTATAAACTCATAATCCGCTTATACTCTGCAAACACATATATGAGGTAAGTTCAGTCTGGCTGCAGTTAATTAAGATTAAGGTTGAAAATACGGTGAACTCATTTTGGTATTGATCTGTGACCATGAGTTCATGTTGAATCCTATATATGCTTAATTTAGCACATCTGTTGTTGTCTGCATAGTGGTCTTCATGGCATATGCTAATTCTGGAAGTGCCACCGATAAGGTGTGGCCTTGCTCTGTTCATTTGTCGAAATTAAGAACTTTGATTCTAAATGCATGCTATTTGTTAGAGGCTGTGTGTGGCTACAAGTTTCTATATGTCCTTTGGGCCTAACAGAGGCATTAATATCTGTTTTGCTTTTTGGATCACTTCTCATTCCCTGAATTTTGTCTTCTGACTTTTCAGAAGCCTGAGTTCTGAAAAGGGCATACTAGAAAACATCTGTTGCTGCTCTTTCTGCTAGATGGAGTACATAATTTTTTTTATGTTATGTTAGCTTGAATATTGACCTGGCCTCAAGTTGCTATGTTAGCTCTGAATTTTCCTAGCTTAACACTGCTAAGTCACAAGTGCGGCATTACAAACATTTCAGTAACTGATATTTATAGGATTAGATGTTCAATTAAGTTTCAGGATTTTGCTTTGTTTTTAATGAAGCATGATCTGATTTTTTTTACCAATTCATATAATTAGATGGCTGAGATTTGTTGTTTCATGTAATGCATGCAAAATGTTTGACTTAGAATTTTTCTTGTAGACAACTCAGGGACAGATGGAGTAGTAGTTGGAGGTCCAATATTATAGCCTAGGACACGAACAAATGCAGAAAATGGAGGTGTTGATGCTAATGATCCTCGAAATATGCCCTTAGCTGGTGAAGGTATTTCATTCGACATTTGCATGTATCGTTAATAAGATTAAGGTATATGAATATATCAAGTTCTTATCATCTCTTTTCATATGTAAGCAGAAAATGTTCCAGGTGTTAATAATGTACAGCTACAAAAGAAGGTACACAAGAAGACAGCAAAGACTAACCAGCGAGCAGGTACTTAATTTGTACATGATGCAACATGTTTTTGTGTATATATTGCCTCTCTGACTTAATTTGCCATGCCTTGCATCTATATCCATCATCATGATATATACCCAATAGTTAGTGTGCACTTTATAAGCTGAACAATTGGTATTGTTTTGTTAGAAAGGATAACCAATGCTTGTAGCCTAAAACATCTTTCAGATTTACTAACTCCGAAGGCAGTATCTCTACTAGTTGCAAATCAGATCCTTAATGCATTTGTGCTTTTTTACAACATAGAAGTTCTATTGTTTCCTTTCTCATATATGTACTGATTACTGACTCATCAATAGGGTCTTTGAAGGTGCTCTCTTGGTAGTTTTACAGGCTACAATTTTCTTTCTGACAGGGTCTTTGAATTAGCCATTTGCTCTTCACTAAATTTATCTGTTATGCTATTCTAATTGCCATGGACTATATATATTCTTCTGTGGTTCTCTGTACACTAGATATGTTTACTCTGTACACTACTGATGATTATTCATTTCATTTACTCTGTCCATTATTTTGCAGGCAACCATAAAAAGGGCTAGCAGAGGTGCTGTAAAAAAAATCAAGAACCTACAAGAACCATAAAAGAGATGATTTGTTTTGTTTTTGGGACCTCAATACACCTACAAGAACCTTAGTTACATCTAAATTATGTAATTATTGCTATGTACTTGAACTCTTATGTAATAGCTATTTGAGCTGATGGATAACTGCTATATAGGAATACTGCTACTTGATGGGTGAACAATAGTTACATGATGATATGTCAGAATGCATTTGTGAACAATAGTTATGAATAGTTGAATATTGTGTTATGCATGTGTGTAACTTACTGAAAGGTGATAATCCGTGTTGCAAAATTTGGAGTGATATTCATCCATATATATGCTGCAAATTTAATTTGAGGTATGGTTCATAAAATGGATGATTGGTAATTAGTATATTTTTTGTGTGGATTACTGACTGATTGCTTGTTAGTTCTTGTGCTTGCCATCAATACATTAATTGTCGGTAAATCTATAACACAGTGACATGCTATCTGTTGGGAATCTTCTTAAGTGTCGGTAAAAGTCTGTCTGTTGGTAAAACTATCTGTCGGTAAATATGTAGCAACACTATCGGTCTATCTGTCGGCACAGATTTATCTGTCGGGAAAGACTTTTGCCGGCAGCACTTGGCCTGACAGACCTTATCTGTCGGGAAACGTTTTGCTGACAAATAATTTGGCAGCATATAGGGCCTTTCCTGACAGATATGTAGTAAGCAAACTTGGGGCATGGTGTAGTGTTAGTAACACCAACCGGGACTAAAAACCTATTTTTAGTTCCGGTTGATGTTACTAACCGGGAAAAAAAAAATTAAAAACACACTATATAATCCCTATTACCGATCCTCTTTTCCCGTCCACACAACAAACTCATCCCTCTATCTCTTTCTCCCTCTCCAACTTCTTATCTCTTCCTTATCTCTAACTCCTACCTTCTCTTTCCTTTTTTTTTCCTTCCATTCGTCACAGCGAAGCAGACGGCGGCCGACGAGGCGGCGCGGGGGTCCGCGCGGAGGCGGCCAGCGCGGAGGCTCGGGGGGCCGCGCGGAGGCGGCCTGCGCGGCGGCGCGGGGGATCGCCCGGTGGCAGGCGAAGGGCCGCTCGGCGGCGGCCGGCGCGGCGGCACGGGGGCCCGTGCGGCTGCGGCGACCGGCCGGCGCGGAGGGAAGGAGGGGAGGCGGCAGTGGCCGGCCGGCCGGCTTTTCTTTTTTTTCTTTTTTTTACAATTTATGATTTATCCTGTGATGTATTTGATTTGTGTGTGATGGGAATCTGTGATGTATTTTTTAGAATTTGTGATGTAATTTTTTACAAGGAAGATGTTAAAATAAAACTATCTACATCCTAAAAATATAACAATTTGTATCAAATAGAAAACATTCTAGTGCTACAAATTTATCCAGATTCATAATACTAGTATATATGTTCTATCTGATATTATGTTGATGTATTATAAGACAGGGGAAGTACACACCATCCATTTTCACAGGGAAAATGAGAAGGGAGAGAAACTTAGGAGAAGAAGAGAATACTAATAGTTTGATGGCTAAAATAAAAAAAAGATGAAATGGTATTAAGAGATCTAGTAGGCGCTATAACCTAAAAAGATACTCCCTTCGTAAAAAAAAAAATCCAACTTAGGAGTTGGATGTGACACAATATAGTACAACGAATCTAGATTGTGTCCCATCTAACTCTTAAGTTGGTTTTTTTGATAGAGGGAGTAGACATCTAAAAGCTAAAAATTTAAAAAAAATGACGGGGGAGTAATGAACTAATGCATGTATCACTTGTGTACTTGTGTGAAGTTACGACAACCAAATTAGGGTGACGTGTCAATGATAAGAACAATGCATTATCTTCATCAGTCACCTTTCCTAGACGTGCCAATTTTTCTAATGTTATGTGTACATAGACCTAATTAAATACTTATTTATTTAAGTTGCTAAATTTGTGGACTTTTAATTGGCATTGATTTGTCGATCGTGTCACTAGCTTCCATGTACGATTGAAGGCTTATTAAAAGTCACGTCAAATTATATGAAAATTGTTGAATAGGAGGAGATGGCGAAGGCGGCGAACACGATCGCGGCGAGGAAGGCCGAGAAAGGAATCGAAGGTACGCATACCTTCTTTTCTCCATCTACTCTTCTTCTTCTCGCGAAGAGTGAAGTTCTGATAATATGTTGAATAGGGAATTGAGATTGTGGGAGCGAGAGAATAGTTGTGTACTTTATTAATCAATGCGATTATACAGGAATGGGTGGCCACCATAGACGTGATGGTTGGGAACCATCGTGCCCGTTGTCAAGGAGCGCCGAGAAGGCGAGGGGTACGACACAACTGTTGTGCGCAACCTTCGGTTACCGATCCCATCTTTTATATAGATGTGATCATCTATTTATTTCATAACAATAATAAGCGGTGAAGCTAATTACTAAGAAACTGTCTGGTTGGCCATTACCGTATTTTATAACAATCTGTGATTAGATATTTTGACATGCGTGTTTGCGTTGTTGCCACAAACATGACAATATTACGTTTCTGTAATATAGGTCCCATATATATGTTAGTGACTTATAAAATGTGGCATATATCTTTTATTTTACTGGCTCAAGTGTGATCAGGATTTTGATTGCCTCACTTTTGACAAGCTCGAAAAAAAGTATGACAAACCTACGAAACCTTAGTTATGAATTATACAACCCTTAAAACCTTAAAACCGGTAACTACTAGCTCCGTTTAATTTTTTAAGATGTTTTGATTTCTTTCCGTATACAAAATTAAGTTTACAATAACATAGTAACATTTTTTCTAAAAAAATCAAAATTATTCGATGTTAGATTAAAAATAATCGCAATATCTTATAATATAAAATGAAGCGAGTACTACTCATATGAAATTTTATGTTTTCTAATTAAAAATATGATTGATCTATGTTTTCTAATAAAATTAATTATAATAACAATTACTCCATCCATCCCAAAAAAAAAAAACAAACCCTGGATTTTCGTACCAACATTTGACTGTCCGTCTTATATGAAAGTTTTTTATAATTAGTATTTTTATTGTTGTTAGATGATAAAACATGATTAATACTTTATGCGTGACTTACCTTTTTATTTTTTTTTATATTTTTTTCAAATAAGACGAACGGTCAAACGTGGTACACGGAAACCAGGGTTTGTCTTTTTTAGACGGAGGGAGTAGATTGTAAAAACAAACCCTGAGATGAACTCGGTTAATTAACAAATATGGAACCAGAATCCTTCTAAGCTTAAGGCTCAATAAATATAATTTACATAATTTTATTTTTATCTTCTAATTTGTAAAATTTTATAGTACAATTTTAATAGATATCTTAGGTCAGGAGAGGGGCTCCAGCTTCTTGTATCCACGCGCCCCGAACAGATCGATCAATTTAGCAGCTGACAGAACAACTCTCGATTTGTCAGGCAAGTGTTTGGATCAATAAAAACGTTAGCCACTGACTTCACACGCTAAATCAGGAGAAAGCGTGCACGACAGCACGAGAGATATAGCTAGAATTCATTTTAATTATATTAATACATACTTCCTCTGTTTTATAATATAAAACTTTTTAGCATTACCTAAATACATATAATGAATTTAAACACATACATATGTCTAGATTCATTATCATTTAAATAAATGTGTGCAATGCTAAAAAGTCTTACATTGTGAAACGGAGGAAGTAATATACTAGGTATACTCACGCAAACGCACGCGATTAACCTAGCTAGCTAGCACTGACAATTAATAAAACAGTTAGAGCAAGTTGGCACAGGCACTACTGTTTAATTGTATTTTATACGGCTAAATTAGTTGGACGAGGTGTATTGCGTGAGTGATATCTGCTTCCAGCTTCCCAGCAATTCGCCAGCACGTACGTTTTTATATAAGCCATGGCTTTAGAAAAGATTATCTATATGTGCGCATCTACAATTATTAAATTAAGCACATTCAATTTAGTTAGAGCGAAAAAATTCAGTGGTCCTGTAGGCATATGCTAAAATGTTGGAATTTTTTTTTCATATCATGATTTACGCATATTAGATATCCATCCGCAGAATAGACGTACACGTAACTGAATAAATAAAACTTACATTATATATATATACCTAAAATTGTTTTTAAGTGTTTTTGGTAAATATACATTTAAGTTAATTTTATTGAACTAGACATATGATGGGATCGATCTAACTTCGATTTTAATCTATTCACTGTGGTACTGCCTGCATGGTACTGCCTGCATTCCATATTACTACTCCATAAGCCTTTTTTAAGTTTATCCCAAGTCAAACTTTTTCTCTAAGGTATAACCAAGTTTTTTTAAAAAAAAGGAATATTTTTAATATAAAATAAATATACTATAAAGACGTATTTAATAAAACTTATTAATTTGATCTTATAGACGTTACTACGCCTTTTATAAAACTCATTCTAAACGTGAAGAAGTTTAATTTAGGACATACCTAAAACAATTTTTATGATACGGAATGGAACAATTTTTAGCTGCACTGTAGGTGCTCTCTCCAGTCAAAGACAACAGTGTTTCAGTTGACACTTGATCACTGGTGGAGAAACCATATTTCGTCGGTCGGGCTAATTCCACAATAGTCCCGGTTGCAACAAAAACCGGGACTAAAGATGATCTTTAGTCCTGATTAAAAAGGGTAACGGGCATATTTGATCTTTAGTCCCGGTTCAAATGCTGTCAGGGCCTGTCAGGCCCCCCCGGGATCTTTAGTCCCGATCGTAACTTTAGTCCCGGTTGGTAATACCAACCGGGACTAAAGATCTCGGCGATCTTTAGCCCCGGTTCATAACACCAACCGGGCCTAAAGTCCCACCCCTATATATATATATGTCTTCTTCCTCCTCCAGCCCGAGCAAGCTTCAAAATTTCTTTAAAAAAGAGGGGAGGTCATGCCAAAATTTCTAGTGAATTTATTTTGGTGATTATATACAAATCGGAGGTGCCTAAAAGGTTAGCAACTTCATACTAAAATGTTTTTTTTTTCATATTACATTTGGAGCTATGTTTTGCACACTTTTTTGTCTCCAAAATTTTGTTGTTAGTTGATAAGAGAGAAAATTTGTGTGGAGAAGAAAGAATATATAGAAATTTAGTTTATTTGCTAAAGAATGTTTTATAAAATAGTTGAGAAGGAAAATATAGTGAAAGTTAATATTGAATGATAGAAAACAAAGTAAAATGAAAAATTAAAATAAGTACAACACATTAATATTAGTTTAAAACTTTATAAATAGTAAATATATAATTATTCGGTGTAATATT